CTCATTCATCTAATCCACACTTCTTGAGCCTTCCACACTTGCCTAAGAGGATGTTAAGGGAGTCAGTGTCAAAAGCCTTGCTGAAGTCAGGGCACATAACATCCACTGCATCCATACACACCACTCCCAAGAACCTTCTTTTCTTCTACATGCTTAGAGATGGCCTCCAGAATTAAGCGCTCTATCACCTTTCCAGGACTGGTTTGTAGTTTCCCAAGTTCTCCCTTCTTGCCCTTTCTAAAGACTGCAATGACACTGGCTTCCCTCCAGACCTTAGGCACCTCTCCTGCTCTCCATGCCCTTTCACAGATGGCAGAGAGAAGCTGAGCAGTAACACCTGCTAAGAGCACCCACAGGCAGCCACAACTGACACTGGGGCAGGAGCACAAACCCCACAGGCACAAATTTCCAAATCCCTCTTAGAGCAGCATTCAGTGTATTCTCACATCCCCTGGGCCACAACCCTGCACAATGCTCTGGAGTCACTGCTGAAGCCAGCTCAGTGCCAGGGGATTTTCCTGAAGCCCTTTCTTTAAGAAGCTCACTTCCATGACAAAAAGATGAGAGAAAAAGCATGTGGGATTTACAGCAATACATTACTTAAAGGATTAGAGGAATTAAAGAAAAGCAGAATTATGCAAACTGTGTGGCAGAAATAGAGACACTGAGAAAAGATGTTGCACTACACAAAATCCCCCAGAGTTTTGGGTAAAAAGTAAAGCAGAAACGTTATCTTAACCAACCCTTTACGGCAGGAGAAATGTATTTTGTGTTCTCTGCTTGTGCATTGAGCAGAGATTCAGAAATAAGATAGGGAGTACCAGTGTAACAGAGGAAACCCATTCAAATCACTTGAGTGCCACTCTGAGGACTGAAAACTATCTAAATACTGCAAATAAGGGGTAAGGGTATTGCTGTTACCATTGGGGGCCTGTGGAGAAGTGTAAAAAGGTATGATAGCTTTTGTTGTGTCGAATACAGGGAAAAGTCTGTGATGGTGTACTGTAGAGAGGGAAAAAAGGAAACTGAACACAGACAGGCCACAGATGAGACAGCAGCAGAAGGATGAATGGAATTCCAGAACAATGGCCTGTGACTGTAACTCCAGCCAGTGAGAGCCAGGCAGAAAATACTGATAAGCTGGAAGGAGTTTCGGAACCAGCAGGGCAACTATTTCAGGTCACAGTGGACACTGTCATAGAGCTTGAGAGCCACACCATGCCAAGGGATACAAGTGCCTTAATACAGAGGCTATAAAGGCATTGAGTGCCAATTTAACTGTCAAGTGACAGGTGGCTGCTGGGGATTTGGAGACAACAGGATATTAAGAGCTCTGAAAACAGCACCAGACCATTCCCAAATGAAACTATAATGACAGGCATTATTGTCCAGTACATTAAAGGAGATCTATGCCAACTCCAAGGCAACGTCACTGCTGTGAGGAGCTCCCAGTGTAATTTCTGGAATGCAGAGAGCACACATACACATTTTTCTGATCACAGAAGAAGCTCTTTACCCCTTTTTGCCCTGTTGATGCTTCAGTGTAGCTTTGGTAGGCTTCACAGTTTTCTTCCCACCAGGCACCTTCTTGCTCACTCTCATCCTTGCATCACTCTGCATCCGCAGGAGTTCCTCAAAAGACATGTCAGATTGATCTGGAAGAGAGCACAGGGTACACCTGAACTGAACAGCTTCTCAAGGCACTTCTCATGCCCAAACTCCACCAAGAGGGATGTCTCAGAGCTTGACACAGTGACACAAGCATAGTGGTGCTATCCCTGTACAACTGCATGGCAGAAAGAAATCACTGCATCTCTCAGCCTCTGATTCCTCTCCCATTGATCACTTCAGTCTTTACCACTAGAACAGAGCAGCCTCCCCCTCTCCTCAGAGTGCTTTGCTTCTCTCTCTGCTCAACAAAAGTTTTTACCTACTACAAAGAGCAGTACGAGCTCTACACTGGGCACTGCGAATTCTGAGGGATCACCTTTTTGTCCTGACTTTACCACATTAATGTTTCTTTAATATTCCTTAATGTCAGTAACCTTTAATGCTTCTCATAACCAGAATGCAAAAATATTATCATCTCTAGTATCATACTATTCTTTATTCTAGATTTATAATTCTAGGCGCTCAGAACCAACAACTGAAAGTATTTCTTCAGTCAGCACTTGGGCATACTCATATATACGCTTGCGTAAGGGCAGGAAGGGGTTTGCACTGCGTCCCTTTTGGAAGGAAAAGCCTTGGCAAGCTGACTTAGGTGGTGTTTGCCTGCTCAGCACCTCTGAGCAGTGACAGGCACATGGTCTTTCTGAGCCTTTGCAATACAAAACACACACCTGTGGCCCAGCAGGGACCATCACAGCCTGTCTGTGATACCTTTGCTGCACGCCAGGTGCCCTCCAAGCTGCTCTTGTAGCCCACTCACTCCCAAACCCTTCCCACAGAAACACAAAACACTGTCCAGTGAGCAAGGCTGGTGTGTGCTCTGCCACTTCCAGAAAGCAACACGAGGTCAGTCACGCTGGCTCAGAGCATGGATTCATCCCAAGCACTCTCATCCTGGCAATAACCAAGACTTTCAGAAACTACTCTCATCATCCAGAAAACATAATGGGAACAGCCAAGAGCTGCCTCAGTTAATGTTTTCATTTTGCTTGTTCTGAATGCTCAGGAACTCTGCTCTGATGATGCTCATTAGTGCTCTGAGGTGGGATACGGGAACAGTGACTATCCAGTCTGCTGCACAAGGGACAAAGGAAATGTGAATGCAGCATGATTTCACTGCACTGCTTCCCCTAAGCAGCCCCCCTTATCCAAATTCTGAACAAGGACAGAGAAAGGACAAAGAAAGCATTAAAAGAAAGGAAGAAAAAAAACCCGTGGAAGATACTCTCAACACTTGATGAAGACAAGGCACCATCACTTGCACTCTAATATTCCATTTGGTTGAAATTCCAAAACAATACTGTTTAAATAGCAAAAACTTCAATGAAAATGAGATAAAGACACCATACAAAATGATGCCAAAAGGAGATTTGGTATAAATCAGATAAAGCAAAGGCATGCAGAGTTTCCATTATAAAGTATTTCATTACTGGTACAGGAGACCAAACCTGACTACTTGAAACCTAACAGGGAAATGATTTCCACATGGTAGCATCAGTCCACAAAATATATCCTACTGCCTATTTGAAGGAGACTGAATTAACCACTCACAGTGATAAAATCATCACTGGACATCACTATAAAAAAAGAGGCATTCACTGCTGGGCAGCAGAATTGACAACTGTGTGTGTGAAAAGACTCTGGTTAAAAAGGCAGGTTTAGCTTATTTTCCTTGTTCTTTGCATTCTTTCTTGAGGGTTTAATTTCCCCATTTTTTTAATTCCTTTTTATCCCCTTAGAATATAACTTACATGTTTTCTGCTATCTCTGTCATCCATTTAATTTTCTCTCCTGACATTTTTCCCTTCGTCCATTATTCTGTGGATTGTTTCCTTCTTTTTGCACCTCTTGATAATCTACCCTTACCTGCTGATAACAGGGGCATTTCCTGCTCTCAAGCACAGCTTCCTCGTGTTTCCTCTCCTCCCACAGACTCCTGTGACACATGTACCCCTTATGCCTTCCTCAGCTGAACCTGCAGGGAGCTATACAACCTGCAGAGCACATCAGTGTCCAGGATGCAAGAACAGATGGCCTAAAGAAATACCTGATAACTGCCCAGTCGTTCCCTGCTGAGACAAAATCAGTGCTGGACTCCAATATAACTCCTCTTGCTCCAGAAAAAAGATCACAGAGAGAGATGACAAAAGCAAAACTGCTGTTCCATTCCCATCCAGCTGTGGGAAGGATAGAGTACTTGTCAGTGATCCTCTCTCTGAGCTTTGCTCACCATTTCATCACCAGAGGAAAACAAAATGCCTACAACAGATGGTGAGGCACCTTGCCCACCTCTGAATCCTACTGCCAAAAGCTCACCTCTAGAGATGTGCCTCCCCCATGGCCCCACACAGACACACCCTGGAGACCCTTTCACAAGGCAGAGACTCCTCACACCTGTGACATCCTGTGTTGTGCCCTGCAGCTGACACCAATGTCCACTCCCTCACAATTCCCTTCAAGGGAATTGTATTGTATTTTTTGTAAGGTTTTCATTTTCACTTGGATTGTTCTGAGATGAGGAAACAAAACTGTGTTTGCTGCTGTGGATGAGAACCCCCCCTGCAACCCTCAGCCCAGCCTGTGCCCACAGCCATGCATTGCCTTCTTCTTCCACTCTCCTGCCCTGTGAGGGCCTCTGGAGCTCCTGCACATCTGGCCTGGCCCAGAGCATCGTCCCGGAGATGTGTGACACCTTCCGCAGCAACCCGGCCTAGTGCGAGGCGTGTCCCGGCCACGGCGGGGGGGAACTGGGTAATACTTAAAGTCCCTTCCAGCGCAACCCATTTTATGGTTCTGTGATTCCACGCACACGGAAGGAGATTGGGGACAAGAGGCCCCTACACGTGTTTGTTCCAGAGCCCTCTCACCCAGCTCCAGCGCAAACCCTGCTGCTGATCCTGAGCTGCTCAGCCGGGCAGGCGAGGGAGGGATGCGGGAGCTGCAATACGAGAGGGCACCGAGCCACTCGGCAGCTCGTTCCCACCGAACGAGCGCCGGGAGCCGCGCCCCGAGCTGAGGCCGCCGTCTTTCCCGGAGCCGCTCCCGCCGGGCCCCCTCACCTCTCCCGCCAGCCCCGGCCACGCTCCCGACGTCGTCGCTCTCGTCACTGGAGCCAGAGCTCTCCTCCGCCGGCTCCAGCCTCCCGAGCGGCTGTTCCGCGGCCGTCTCTTCCTCGCTCTCTGCGGCGGCGGCGGCGGCGGCGGCTCGTCCCCGTCCCTGTCTCCATCCCCGTCCCGGCCCCATCGCCCCGGGAGCGGCTCCGTGCCCCGGAACGGCCCGCGCGGCACCCGCGGAACCGGAAACGCAGCACGCGCAGGCAGAGGCAGTCACGTGGGAGAGCGGCGTTTATTGTTTGTTTCGGGTATTTTTATTTTTGGGAGGGGGGTGTTTGGGTTTTTTTTTCCTTTTTTTTTTTTTTTTTTTTTTTTTTTTTTAACAAAAGTCCTCCCTTTCTGAATGGGTCGCGTACACAAAGGTCCTGGCGTTATCCAACTAAGTCGTCAATAAGTGTTTTTAAGTGCAAGCTCTGGATCTCTTTGCCCTGCTAGACTGAGCCGTCCTGATGCCGGATCTATCGCAGCCTAGACTAAGTTCCTAATACAAGCACCAAGTGTATGAAACGAAGGTTTGCCATGGCCTCCAACTGGATCAGCTGCAGGTGTTAGAAGTGACCAGCAGACTGAAAGGAGATGTGGTTGCACACAGAGGCCTGCATTAGGAAAGGTACAGCCGGCAGACCAAGGGGTGTCAGCATCTCTGAACGCCTGACACCTGTGAGAGCACACTTGGAATGTTGCATCCTATCTTCTGTTCGAAAGGAAACCGAAGGAACTGGGGAGGGTGCAGCAGAGAGTTCCCAAGGCAGACAGAGGCATCGTCTTCGGCTTCCTCGGGATGAGGCCAGCGGCGGGGCGCGGCGGCGGCGGGCGGCGAGAGGCTGTCCGCCAGGGCGCGGAGCTGCTCGGCCAGCCGGCCGAGATCCCGGCCCGCGGGCGGGGCGGCGGCGCGGGGCTGCCGGGCGCGCAGGTGGGCCGCCTCCTCCTCCCTGCGGCGGACACGGGGTAAGAGACAGCCTGGGGGGCCTGGCTGAGCCGCAGGTGCAGGTGATGCAGCCGCCACCCCCCGAGACCCCGCTCACCTGAGGCAGCGGCAGGTGCAGGTGATGCAGCCGCCACCCCCCGAGACCCCGCTCACCTGAGGCAGCGGCAGGTGCAGGTGATGCAGCCGCCACCCCCCGAGACCCCGCTCACCTGAGGCAGCGGCAGGTGCAGGTGATGCAGCCGCCGTCCCGCCGCGCCCACACGCGCAGCCAGGTCCAGGCGCGGTCCCTGCGCAGCACTCGCAGCACGGCGGTCCCCGCTGCCGGCCCGGCCCCGGCCCCCAGCGCTGCGGGCAAAGGAAGGGACTGCGTGAGCCGGCAGCAGGGCATGGCCCCGGGCTGCCTCATGGACTCTGCCGCCGGTCACTAGTTAGCCCCAGCGGGACAGAAGCAACATAGAGCAGTCAGGTCTGTAGCAGTCCTGCCCTCCCAAAGAGATAGGGTTCAGGTGGGCTTGTGCCTCTTCTGTATTCTGTGGCAAAGCAGGATGCCCATCCGCAGCTTGGAAACTACTTAGAGACAGTGCATGAGCTGTGTAACTACTTCCCTGCCTCATCCTTTTTGGAGGAGGGAGTCACAACAGAGAGGGCTGAATTCCCTTTCTCGCTGCTGTCCTGGATAGCCACGTTTCAGGCAGACCGTGGAGCCAGGGGACAGCAGGCACATTCCTGCGTATGACACTCACCCACGGCCCTGTGCTGGGCAGCTGCCAGGTCAGCATCCTCAGGGTGCAGGAGGCTGTACCACGACTGGCCGACCAGCTCCTCCCGGTGGTAGCCTAGGTGGTAGGTGACACTGGGGAAGACAAGGGGAGCGGGGACTGAATGCTGTACGGAGCCTGCACCATGTCAGGAAGGAGCAGCTGCTGCATGATGGAGAATGAAACAACAGGGGTACAGAAATAAGTTGTAAATGCGGGGAGAGGTTTGGGAGGCGTTTGTGAGAGTCTCAGTGCTCATGCAGTGTCTAGCCTGCATCCCACACACAGGTTTGGTGAAGGGAAATTATTCTTGCCAGCTGAGATGTACCGCTGGGTCTGTGGTGCAAGCAGGCACCCCTCACCTCTCCGTGACATCAATAAACGTCATGTCCAGGAGATGCAGACTCTGGAATATGTCATCCTGGGAAGCAGCTTCACCATCGGTGGGGGACTGCACAACGGGTGTGCAGAGGGCCAGGAAGGCTGTGGTGGAGGGGGAGGGTGGCCAGTGCAGGGCCACAAAGCGCCCACACACTGCCACGACCCGATTCCCCCCATGCTGCAGCCGGAACGCCTTGGACGTGCGCATCTCGCTGACAAAAGTGACTTCTGCAGGGAAACACACCATTCAGAGTGGGTCAGGAGCTCCCTTGCTCTGCTCCCAGCAGAGCTGGCCCTGGCTCTCTAAATCACAGCCAAGGACCAGAGCAGGGTGGCAAGATCCATGAGATGCCAGCCGAGGCCTCCCTTACCCCTGCCAGGCTCCTCCCGAGCAAGGAGGAGCTTCTTGTGCACATCCTCCCCTGCTCGCCCATCCAGGATGTCAAAGACCGTGTCCCCCTGGGCAAGCAGCTCCACCTGACAAAGAGGGGGCTGCCCTCAGAGACTGTGTGTCTGTCTCAGCGGGCCCTGACTGGCACTGTGGGTGCATAACCTGCTGGAGCCACAGCCCAGCATCTGCTGAGGCAGTGCGCTGTGCAGGCAATAAAGGCACCAGGATGGGTACAGGAACAGTGACTGCAAATGCCCAGTGAGCAGGCCTTACCATGGAGAGGCCCAGGACCTGAGCCACGTTCTCTGAGATGTAGACCAGCTTGCTGTCTGCTGAGAGCACAAGCAGAAACCCCGGGAGCAGGGAGAGTAGTTCTGTGCCAAGGGCTGGTCCTACAGGAGGAGCCAAGCCTGCAGGGAGGGGGATGAGGGTGAAGTGCTGTCTTGGATGAGGCAGGGGCAGTGCCCCACACAGAGCCAAGCAAGTGTGGAGTACAGCAGTGCTGAGGGTACCTGGAGGGAACAGCTGAGCCCCTCGCAGCCGGAGGCACACCAGGGCCATGGTGTGGAGGTAGGAGAGCCGCTCCTTTTCCTGTGCAGAGATGGGCAGCAGGGAGCGCAGCGCCTGCAGCTCTGCATTGATCTGGTCTCGGCGAGCCTTGGAAGCACTCTTGGTTGACCTGCAAAGCCAGGCACCTGGGACATGTGTCCAGGGAGGGGAAGGGACAGCATTCCCTGCCTGTCATTGTGGGAACAATTGTGAATTGTGAGCTTGGGGATATGAAGTGCAGATGCTCAGCACCCGTGCCAGCTGCTGCCTCTAGGAGAGCAAACCTTGCGGGCACAGACAGAGGTGCTCAAGCCTATCTGGGGCACACGCTGCTGGTATGGCTGGTGCCTCCCTGCTGGGCACCAGGTTGGACCTGTGCTTTGGTGGGGCGCCCATGTGACACAACCTCCCACCAAACCCCAACAGGATGGAAACTGCATCCAGTGCTGGAATGTACGCCCCAGCCCAGTACAAGATACCTTTCCTCCTAAACCACCTAAAATACCTCTGCCCCTCCAAATTCCTGCCCCTCCTCCCCATGCGCCAGCTGGCAGTTCCGCTGTGCCAGACTGGTGTCAGCACCTTGCAAGTGCCATCAGACCCTACACCAGCTATCCCGGGGTTCTGGAGGCCATCCCAGCCCTGAGGGAGGTGGGAGAGAGCTCACCTGAATGGCCTTGAGGCGCTGGGCGCCTGCTTGGCCCTCGCGGGCAGGCAGCTCATCTCTGCCTGCAGTGGCCGGTGGCAGTGGCTGCAGAAGATGGTCATGCTGCTGGGGCTGGGATGGCCTGGAGCTGGCAGGGAACCGCTGTCTCCTTCGCCTCTGGCTGTAGCTGAACCTGCTGACCCTGCTGCTCCTGGCCTCCTTTTGTACCCTCCCGGGGTGCAGAGGCCAAGCCACTCACCGTCGAGAATTACCTCTTGTGACGCAACTCCAAACAGCTCAGGGCTATTTTTAGAAGGCAGGCTGCTAAAAATAGCCCTTGCAACCAGCTGAAATTTGAGAGGGGAAGTAATAAAACGAAGCCAGGGTCTTTAAAGCAAACCTGCCGCTCAGGAGGGGGCAGTGACAAAGGCAGCAGGGATCATCTCCCTGTGGGGTACACATCTGCCACCAGCTCCTGCCAGCCCTACAGAGCATCCTGTGTCTAGTCTGCCTGACTGGGAACTGCTCTCCAGCATCACTGATGACTGACCTGGGTGCTGGGAGAAGGAGCTGATAAGCCAAGAAAATACACTGGAGACACCTGGACCGAGGTGGTGAGCAGTGTCCCACACCCAGGCCTGCAGTAGGTTCCTGGCAGAGGCAGGTGAGAGCCACAGCACCCCTGAACCCAAGCAAACCCTTTAAGAGGAGTGGGGTGTCATTGACCCCTCTCCCTGATGAGCCCCTTTTCTTCCCAGAGAAGACTTCTCTCCCACAAAGGTTTGCTCTCCTAGAGGCAGCTGACATGGGGTGCTGAGCCTTTCTGGGGTCTGTCGTCTCCACTCCATGCCCCAGAGACTGTGATTCCTCCCAGTGACAGCCATTCATGGACAGAATGGAGGAGCCTCTGTGCTCAGCACCACGCAACCCAGCAGAGGGACTTTGGGTGCTCAGGGGGCACTTCCCAGTGCCTGGCACCCTGCAAGGAAAGTAAGCTTGGTGCTTCAGTGCACAGCAAAAAAAAAACTCCACCATTTATTTCACAGCTTGAGAGAGTGCCTGTGGCTGAGGCAGTGATAGAGGAAGGGAGTTAGAGCTGCTGGACAACACATGGTAGATGTTCACCTAAGTCCTCTTGGTAACCTGCAGGTGCCAAGGACCACAAAAGATGAGCGGAGGGTAGGGCTGCTCCCCCTCAGTCAGATGTGCTGTCACAGCACACCCTGTTTCCCTCCAGGCCACTGATGCTCATCACCTATCACGGCGAGGTGCTGCCAGTGTGTGAAGAACAAGCTCTTGTCACAATTGTGGGGCCTTCTGTTCTCTTGCCACGGGGATTTCACTGCTCTCATGCCACTCCAGACTTCTCTATTGTGCTTGCATTGGCCACCTCCTGCAGGCTGAGGAGCCCAGGCACCTCTGCAACCTTGTGCTGCTGGATGAGCACTTGACCCTGGCTATGTGCCAGCCCTCAGGGCAGGGCAGACAGCCTGGGCCCTCTGCCACCCAGGCTCCTGGCATGCAGCCACCACCATCTCTGCTGCCCCTGTGACTTTACATCCCAGGAAACACCCTGCGTGCTTCCTTAGCTTTCTCTGCACCAGCCGCACTACAGTTGCCACTGCAGCTCCTCTTCACATCAGACGCTTCACATTGGTGGGAAAGGGCTTGAGCACAGCCCTCTGTGCCACCAAGGAAGGCTGTCCCAGGCATCCCTCCACCTCCAGCCCTGAAGCAGGAAGCTACAGAGCATCCACCTACCTGAGGCAGCACAGCTCAGGAGACATACACCATTTTCCTTCTGTCTTCTTGCAGGACAGCACATCTCTGGGCAGGAGGCAGGTACCCCATGGCAGTGCTGCTGCAGGGAGCTCAGCTTCCCTTCCCCACCCCAGGCAGGGCTGTGGCTCACATCAGCCACTGCCTCCTGCTGCCACAAGCCACCAGTGGCCTGCAGCTTCAGGGAAAAGCACCTGGTTCAGTTCCCCCCCCCAGCCCTTTGTGCCTTTTCTCCCCCAGTTCATCTGCTAGGACACACAGAAGCCACGTCTGCCTCACCATTTATAAAACTTCTCCCAGTTGCTGTTTTACAATGGGAGCTGGGCAGTGTCCAGCTGGGCCCAGGCCCCCACGCTGGGCTCAGCTTGGAGCTGGGGCCTGCCATTTAGTGCCAGGAAGCTGCCAGTGCTGGCAGGAGCAGGTGTACACATTCCTGCTCTCTTGAGGCAATGCAGGAACAGTTCAGGTTGACCGTGACATCAACCCCAGGGCCATGGCTGGTGGTAAGAGTTGATTCAGGCCCCTGGAAAGTGGCTGGACAGCGGACAGCGCAGCTGCAGTTCCACAGGGAAAGGAAGCTCTAGAGCCACCAGCAAGGAAAGGGGTCACAGATGTGCTGCTGGGGCCAGACAGTTTTTCCCTCAGTGACCAGCTCTGCCTGTCCACTTGTGCTGCCCAAAGCATGACAAGGGCAGAGGGAGGCCTAGCTAGGGCAAGACAAACTGAGCTCACACATTCCTTGCTTGAAAGGGCTAAAAATTCATGCAGGCAGTGGAGCAAGAGGTCAGAATGTGAAGGGGTGAGGGCAGGGTGGTAGAAGGGTGAGTTGTCTTCAGCCCTGATTTGAGACAATGGGGCGGCTGATGGTGCTGTTCGTTGTCATGGCTGAGAGCTCCCATCTGCAACACACCAAGAGGATACACTGAGAGAAAGCACAAACACAGTGCCCAGGGCTAGAGCAGCTTTGAAGCAGACTTTAGCTAGTCTCCAGCCCAGCCCACCTCAAAGGTGCACAGTGCCAAGGGCCCCAGGCAGCCCTCAGCCAGGGCTGGAACACTTCAAGGTCAGGGAGCATCCAGAGTGACCTCCCAGCAAGGCACACCATACCTGATGTCGTGGGGAAGACAGGACTGGTCCAGGCTGTACTGAATCACTGCTAGCTTACACAGTGTCTTCAGACTGGGGCCTGTGAAAAGAAAGCAGTTTAGCTACAGCAGGCCTTGACTGGACACCATGGATGCTCCAGCATCATGCAATCAGTGCCACAGGAAACAGGGCAGAGCCTTGTCTGAAGGACAAGGCAGAGTGCACACCAGGGACAGTGGCTTCTGTGCTCCCCCAAGAGGTCTTGTGGGCAGGAGTGCACAAAGCATGGCTGCACCTCTGGCTGCTCTGCCTAAAGCCAAGTACACTGGTCAGATGCAGCTGTCTGGCTCTAGGACATGGCACCTGGAGCCACAGAGGGCACAGTTAGGTGCTTCACAGCAGGGCCTGCTCACAGGGCACCTTGTGGTCAGAGGTACAAGCTGGGTAGGAAGTGCTTACGTACTGAAGTCGAGGATGTAGAGATCTGAGTGATCCATCAGGTCAAATTCATCACCCATTCCCTCCTCTGGAGATGGGCTGCAGAAACCAAGCACAGTGTGTCACTCAGGGCCAAAATTCTTATACACCAGCTCGCCAAGGGCTGAGCAAGCCAGGAATGTTCCTGGCCTGCCTGTCCCATGCAGGAGCCCTGTGATCCCTCCTGCCCCTCTGATGCCCCAAGCAGCACCCAAACCCATCACTTTCTCAGCTCCTTGCAGCATAGGCAGAGCTGCACAGGGAGCAGAAACCCACACTATTACTTCTGCAGGGCAGGGGAGAGGTGCCTCTTTGTCATGGATGACCATGATGATTCCAGCTATGAGCCTCCACTTCACCTCGCCTGCCATCACTCCTGTTCTCATGTAGTTAAGATCTACTGCATTTATTTCAGCTTGGCCACTGAGATGCTGTAAGAGGAGTGCAGAGAAACTAGCTAGAAAACATCTGCATGGCAGGGCAATCACAGACATTTCTCAGTCTGACTCAGGAATCACTTTGGACTCCAGCCACAGCTGGAGTATTTGTGCCAAAATGGGGATGGCATTTCAGAAGACTGTAGCTGAGCACTGAGCAGTGCAGCAGTCATTTAAAACAAATTCCAATTTGCTGATACTCCCATTTGATGTTGGTCCTGGAATGCTAATGAGAAGCTACAACACCAGGCATTTCTAGGGAACAGACACCCTCACCTATGGTTTCCTTCCACAGTGGTCTTGATAGAACAACCAAAGCACCTGAGAGACTGGACACTACAACTCCTTGCACAGACAGATCAGCCTGTGCTGAAACAGGGGAAAACACTCCCATGGCTGCGGGTTGTTTGGAGAATTTGAAAGAAAGGAAAAAAGTCCTGCTTTGGTCTGTGACAAACCAACTTAGTGTGCCCTCACTTCTTAGCTGGGACCAACCTCATGCAGTGACTCCTCACCCCAGTGTCACTTGTTTCCCCACCCATGAGCCACCAAGCTTCACACCTCACGGGACATGAGGCAGTAACTGCTCCCCCAGGTCCCCACAACCTCAGGCCAAGCTGCAGAGCACAGCTCATTGCTGGCAGAGAAGACTTGTTGCTGATGGGACCCATCTGCCCGGATACAGGCAAGAGCCCCTTTAACTCCACCTCATGTGCTTACTACATCACAATCTAATCTCACATCCACGTCACAGGAAACCCTAGACCATCCCTTATCTATCAAAGGGAAGCCAGCAGGCACCACGTCTGTGGCTTTAATCACCAAAAGGAAAGTAGCAGGGTGAGCCTGGAGTTCAAGACCAGGCAGCCCCCTGCAACTCCCAGGCAGCAGGGTGCAAGGCACACCTTTGCCAGCAAGAGCCCAGCAAAACTGCTAATTCCAGCTGCAAAACAACTCACCCTGCACTCAGTGACAGCCCCTATCCTCTCACCAGAGCCAGGATTCCTAAACCTTGTCAGGAAAAACACAATCTCAAGCCAAATCTGGATCAGCATCTCTTCAGCTAAACTGTTTATAGCATTCCTTCTCCCTTGTGGATGGTCTCTGCACACTGAATTGCTGGTGGGTTTGGGAGGAAACCAGACCAGGGCCTCAACTGTGATACAGCTAATGGGAACACCAAACTTCTTGGTCCCTTAAACAGGACACAAGTGAGGGATTGCTCTTGGCCACAGTGAGGGACCGCAGCTGGGACAAAAAGACCAAGCTCTGGCAAGAACTACCAAAGAAACAAAGCTTTTGGGTGCCACAGGAGCAAGCAGCCTGCAGAAGTGCCTCTTCAGCAGTCTACAGGATGTGTGAATCCTGGAAGGGCAGACACAAAGGGGTTTTGCCTGCCCATCCCCCAGTGCCTTCCCTAGAAAGCTGAGCTTGCCGGCTCATCCTCAGAGAATCCCTGCTGGACAGCCCATGCTGTGCGACCCCTCCCCCTTCCCAGCCAGCGGAGCACAGGTCAGGAGGCAGACCACTGGGAGTTCTCCATTACAACGACTTCCTGGAAAACTTCTTATCTCGCCAGGCAGCTCCAGAATACACCAGATAACTGCTACAGGAAGCAAGCACGGCCCACCCCCACCTCCCACTTCCCCAGCCTCCAAGACCCTTCCTCCAGCTCAAGCAGGCTGCATTCCTGGCTGCCAGCAGCTCTTCCGAGCCCACACTAGTGCTGATCAATGTGCCTGTACTGGGGTTGAGCCTGACCTAAGAAACAAGCTGAATTCTGAAGTGGTTCATGGAGAAGACAAGGCACTGCTGCATTGCCTGGCAAGGGTAAACCAAACTCCAAAAAGCTGGTGTCAAATTTGTTGTGGTTTGCTAGCATTTCCCAGGAGTGCCAAGGTTTAACATCAAAGTTCAGCTGCTGCTGTAAGACAATCTACACACAGCACAGCATCTGGGACCACCCAAAACTCCCATAAAGCCCTACCAAGCCTTCTGCTGTACTGAGCAGTACCCAGTATCTTTTGAGGAGACTGGATAAACTCAGCACCTCTGCATACCTCATCTGCACTAAGCACTCCCTCACAGTCACATGGACATCCTACAGCTAAGCACACCCCCCCTGAACACCTGGAACCTGAAGGCCCTTCACCCCATCACATACTGGTATGGTCAGGTCACCAGCAGAACCTGTCCTGCTTGGTTCTCAGCCCCAAGTTGGCTTCAGAAGAATCCCCAAAAAGCCACTGTAGGGATCCTAGAGAGAGCCCCAAAGCTTTCCAAAACATGTGGAGAGTTGAAAACATTTAAGATGTCTCTACAAGGTAGATACTGGCAAGCAGGACTGTGCTCCAGAGCTGCAATTTGTCACTCCAGACAGCACAGAGTGTGTCCTGGTGATAGGCCACTTCCTTTCTTTTAGCAGCTGTTAAGGCTCTTGGCCACATCCAGCTGCCCTGCACCCTGACAGTATCACTTCCAGTGTTTGACAGCTAAATCCATAACACCACATCACTGTTGTGAATGGAAATGTTGCTAAGGAACACTGGTGCAGGGGGCAACATTGTCTTGTCATGTGTGTAGGCTCCTCAAACAGCTCTCAGCTGAGCTGGCATCCCACTGCAGCTTGGCAGCAGAACGCACACTTGCCAGTGGAAGAAAGAAGCTCTGGTGGGAGAAGCAGGGCAGCACATAGGTGAAGATAAGTCAGTTTGAGGTCTGCTCTGGCACAGCAGACTGAGATACATGTCCTTCTGACAGCAGGATCTCCTCTCTTATCCCCACGACCTTTTTACCAGAATACTTGAGCACTGCACAGCCCCTCCTGAGCAGCCTGTTACACTCTTCTGTCTTTACATGTACAAGATGGCTTGTCACCAGCTGCTTTACAAGCTTACATGACACCTTCAGTCTCTTCCAGGGCCTTATTCCAGGGGAGCCCTGATGTACATGATTACCTACACATGTCAGATAGGCTGACACTTGCCACATGCCTCTGAAGTCCATCTGATACCGCATGGGTCAGAGCGTGAAGGGACACTGTGCAGAAGGGACTGGCAAAGCCTCTCAGGGAGCCACCTCACACAACTCACCTGGTACCTCCAAAGAGGATGATTTTGTCCCCCACTC